AGAAATTATATACTATTCTAGTATATTTTTTGATATTATACAAAGTTACTTAGAGCTCAAAATTATAATATATTAGTAAAATTTTGAAAGATATATAATTTTCTATATTTTTATTAATAAAAATATAAAAAATTATATATCTTTCAAAATTTTACTAATATATTATATAACTTTGAACTCTAAGTAATTTTGTTTAGTATCAAAAAATACACTGGAATGGTATATAATTTCTTTATTTTTACAAAAAAAATATTAAATATATATTTTTAATGAAAATTTATAATTTTATCTATTTTTATTTTAAAAATAAAAAAAATAAAAAATTTATATACTATCTTAGTATATTTTTTGATGCTAAACAAGGTTATTTAGAGCTCAAAGCTATAATATTTTAGTAAAATTTTGAGAGATATATAATTTTCTATATTTTTATTAATAAAAATATAAGAAATTATACAGTCTACCCTCATTTATATTAACCTATTTAAATTGGTTAAATTTATGTTGATAGAGATTATAATAAAATTGATATATATAAGAGAATTTTAATATATAATAATTTGTAAAAATTCATCTTATAACTTTAGGTTGATATTAATGAAGTTGATATTAATGAGAGTAGACTATATATCTCACAAAACTTTACTAACTTTGAGCTCTAAGTAACCTTGTTTAGCATCGAAAAATACACCAAAATAGTATATAATTTTTTTATTTTCTTTATTTTTACAAAAAAAATACTAAATACAGTATGTATTTTTGATAAAAATTTACAATTTTACCAATCTTTACTTTAAAAATAAAGAAAATAAAAAATATATATATTATCCCAGTGTAATTATGTATTTTATAATATTGCACAATATATTGCATAATATTACAGCTTTTTTACTTTGCATAATTTATTGTGCAATATTATACATTATTAAATTTGCTGATGATAGCACAATTTATTATGTTTTTATATAGGTTTGGAGGTTTTTTTTTTTTATTTAATAAAAAAAACTTCATATAAAAAATATAAACATTTTATGAGATACTAAACCAACTTTAATAATTTTTTTACACTATATATAAAGATGGTTTTCTCTATATTATTTGCTATAAATTAATGTAATTGGCTTATTAAAAAAAAATAGTTAGCTATGAAGAAAATAAAGATTTCATAATTACAATAAATAAATTTAATAGTATTTTGCATATATAAAATACTATCTATCTTAGACGAATTAAATTATTATTCAAAAAAAAAAATTTAAGCAAATCAAATAAATAACACTTCTCTTAGCTAAGAAGTAAATTATTATATCAAATCAAAAATAATTTAATTAAATTTGTATCAAATTTGGTTAAATAATATTTGTTTATTAAAAATTTGGGATATCTTTATTAATTATATATCAGATATAGTAACATAAAAAAAAAATTAGCCAATTTGGCTTAGTCCCGATTTTTTTTTTGCAAAGACAACTTGCATTAATCTAAACTATTAAAACTATTATATTATTGTTTTTTATTATTATTTTCTATTGTATATAACAAACTCATGCTATTCCTAATTCAAAGGTTTTAGCAATACGAATTTATTATATACGTATTGGATAAGTGAACAGAACCTTTATACTATGTTCGCAAACATTAAATTTACGCGATTTCTTTATTTTTTTCAATTTTATTTATCTTAAAAAAAATACCGGTACAATAAAAGTACCACAAATATATCATTAAATTACGTTTGTTTCTATTCAACTCAAAAAATTTTCCATGTAAACCATCGTCTAGTTTGAACAGTAGTCTCATCAGGTTTCACTGTAACTCTATTAAAATTAAAAGGTAAAGCTTTTCCTTCATTTTTAATTACATCCTCATAAATTTTATAAGCATCAGGTAACACTTCAGATAGATATTGTGCTCTAGCATATTCGCTCGGATGTGAAAGATAAAATTCGGGTAAATCTTCTTCGACCACTTGGTCTTTATTAATTGCTAAGTGAGACCATAGCTCTATGGCTCTTGCTGGATGATAACCCGATAAAGCCATTAATTGTAAACCTACAAAATCTGCTTCTTTTTCTTCTTTTTGATTGTATCTTCCAGCTCCATATGCTGCTATTAATTTTTGCGTTATGACATTTATGTACTCATTAATAAAGGGACCTAATGCAGCCAAAAATGGATACCATAATAAAGTACGAAGTGTATCTAATTTTTTTTTTTTTATAAAAATTTTTATCAGAAGATAAAGGCAATAATGTTTTTATTATTAAACTGATAAAATAAAACTTTACCTGTTAAAATATACATCACTTGATTAAATCCAAGTGTTTCACTTGAATGTCTTTGTAAGATATGTCCTATTTCATGAGACATAATCACTGAAAGAAATTCTTCATCGTAATCAATTGCTTTTAGCATACCTAAAGAATTATTTCAAGTTTCGATAAATAAATAAATAAATAAATATATTTGTTTTAAAAAAAGAAAAAAAAAAGAATTTAGACATTTAAACCTCACCAGTGAAAATAAGAATCTTCCTTGCCGCACCAAATGAAAAAGCATTAACAACATTATCGTCATCAACCACATAAACTACAAAAGGAGCTAAAGGTCCCTCAGCTTCAGTGTTTGTTACTATTTCTTTCATATTACCATCATATGGACCTTCTTGCTTATATGTTTTCAATGTCATCAAATCATCATTTAATCCTTTAAGCAAATTATTCATAACATGTCTTACAAAAATAGTTTCAATGCTATTATCCCCTAAAATTCTTTTTCTATATTGCTCATAAACTACTAAAAATGCCGAATCGCATAATTCTTTTTCTTCATTTAATGACATAAATCTAAATCTCCATCGATTTGTATGT